TCCCGGTTCTAGCCGGCGGGGGTGGTCGTGCGTCAGCGGCCTGTCAGTGCTTATCGCGGTCGTCGACCGACAAAAGGGAGCCGGAGAAAAGGGGGACTGGAGCAGCTGCTACAACTTCCCAATGGACAAAAATTCCCTTCTTTTAGGGATTTGGAGGAGGCGATCGCACGGTTTAGTGAGGTAACTGGTGTTTCTGTTTGCGATGGCCAAGTTTAGGAAACTAGCTACCACTTTAAGCCAGTTAATTCCCACAAATTCATCGCCGGCAGCCCTGAGGCCGAGACATTTTTGTTTTCCAGCCGCAAATACGTTTGCGTCCTGGCTTCAACTCGAAAGTACGTTTACATTAACTTAGGTAAATCAGCGACTGCGCAGGCGCGTGGGCTGTGATGCGTTCTTTAACATTGGGCATCGCAAGGCGGGCTACCTTGGCGTAACGTCGTTTAAGGCAGAGCACGGACATGAGCCCGTGCCCGTGGAGCCCCAGCATTCTAAGCAGAAAAGCCCAGGCTCCCGACTGACAGACTTTCGCACGCTGCGTGCTGCCTCACCAACAAGTAGATACAGACTTCCTTTAACCGTGCTTTACAGCGCAAGAACAAACTCGTTTGCTTTGTTCTTTGTTTAAGAAAGTTTTCCAATGCGGGACCTTCGTAAGCTTCGATGGCTTAATGTCCGCGGTAAAAGAGTACGAGAAGGTAAGCCGTATTAAGCCTTCGGTTATTTTGTAGGCTTCCTCCACCAGCTTCAGCAGAACTAAGAGCGAAAGACTGCCGGCGACCCATCCGCGGGTTGATGCATTGAAGTACCGTTATGTCTACTTTACATGCTGTCATTCCGGAGTTTTTCGCAGTTGCAGCTCCAAGAAAAAAACAGCGTAAGCGACCATTGCTTTGCATCAGGCGATTTAGTTCTCTGAAGTTTGGATGTACAGCCCGCTTCACCGCCGTAGTGATTGGGGACGAATTGCACGTGGAGGCGCTAAATTTGCGCCACAACGACGTATGCAGTCGACAGATGGCCTCCGCCTACCCCAAGTTGCGGCGATTGGCGGAGCAAGACGAGAAAAACCTGCTGCGGTTGATGCAGCAGATGCGCCCATCTGCAGGACGGCTGAAGGCGTACATGAAAAGTAAGATTACGTTCTCCAAACACAGTCGTACGTTGCTATGGTCTTAATTGCAAAATGAGGAACCTAGCCAACATGCGCCGCCGGCTGTTTCGGAGTGATCCAACTGTAAGGGGTATGAAGAATGCTCTGTACTCAATGAGGGGTGGCTGCGACCCCGATTTTTTTTTACGATGATTCGCGGGGCATGTGCTCTACGAAATCGGTTCTGCGGGCCGCCTGCTTTACGACGCCGGCTCTGCGGGCGACGTACTCTGCGTATCCGGAGGTTGTCCAAATGGACGCTACCTACCGGACCAATAGGCAGGGGTGTGCATTGTACCACATTGTGGTAACTGATAAGCATGGGCACGCTCAGTCCGTGTTCTACGCGTTTTTAACTCAGGACGACGCCGTTAGCGTACGGTGGGTAGTAGATAAATTTAGGGAGAAGATGGGGTCTGCTACTGATAACTTACGCACAGTGTTTATATACAAGGATGCAAAAGAACTGAAGGCCTGGTGGGAGGTTTTTCCTGGAACTCAGGTAGCCGTCCTTATTTGCACATTTCATGTGCTCCAGGCCTTCAAGAGAAAGGTCAGACGCGTGTATAAAGACGTAAGGTCTGAGCATGCTTTTGACCTTTTTCGTAGGGCTGTGTATGCATCCTCCTTTAAGTTTTCCAAATTACAGTTTAATAGCTTTAGGCAATTTTTCCCCGAGCCCTGGCCGTATACTGTGGTCAACTGGTGGCGGTGCAGACGCCCGTGGGCCCATTACGCTCGGCGTAGTCTTTTGACGTACGGCGACAATACCACAAATAAGATAGAGAGTGCTAATCGTGTCTTAAAGCAGTGGTGTAGACCCTATATGTCTCTCACCGACTGCGTTCATAGCATAGTTAACTTTTTGGATTCAAAGACCGTAGACAACGAGCGGCTGGATGCCGATGAGTACTGCCGCCGCAGGCACTACAACGGACTAACCCCGCATGTCACCAAACTATGTCAAATGCTGACTGGGTATGCCTCAGAAGTCGTGCTGAGTCACGTGTCCGCAAACGCCAATGTAAGGCTTTGTAGTGAGACCGTGGACACGTGCAGCTGTCGGTTCCATCGGAACTGGCAGCTGCCGTGTGTACACATAATCAATTACATTGAACAGAACAATGTTGACCCCTGCTGGGCTCTTTTAAAGAGCAGATGGGTCTTTCGATTAGATGTCTGTGAGATGCCCGTCACTGGCGAGAATGTTGACCCGGAGGCCGTAACGTCCTTCCAGGCTGACATTCTCGTCAGCAAAGGGCGAGGGCCGTTTACTGAGGACTACAAGTACAGAGTAGCCATGCGACACGTACAGCCTATTGTGGAGAAGTTAAAGAGTTGTGGCAGTCGACGCTTCGAGGAGTTGTTGCGGGAAGTTGATGAGTTCGCCAACTGGATCATGAATGCCCCGTCTGGTGGTCTACATGGGTCGCCTGTCGACCTCCCTCCACAACCGAACGTTGATGAAATGGGGGATGACACGAGCGACGAAGTCGTTCGTTGTCAGGTGAGAGAGGAGGGTGATGTGCTAATCGCGCAGTGGGGCTCAAACCAAGACCCTTCTGTACGTGTTTTGCGCAATGACTCGTTGCTCCCCAACTTCCACATTCGTGGCCGGCCATGTATGCGACGCTCCTGGGCGACCCGCAAACCTCTGAGAAGTCGTCCGACGAACACAACTGTCTCCACGAATAGTGCAAGCACAAGTCGAATGCGCATGGACTCTGGCATACCCAGTCGGCATTTGGACGAACGGGCCGTGGCCATAGATGATATCCCGTTTGTAGATGCGTGTGGTGTCTGCGCCGGTAATACCATGGTAAGTAGGGGGACCATCTTCAAATGCGTCTGGTGCCAACGCAAGTTCCACGAACTTTGTGTCGAAAACCCGCAGGTCTGTGATAGGTGGCTATGCACCTTTTGCACCGCTCTAACCGGTGGATGTGAGTGAGACTGTGAAAAATCTAGTGGCTGTGATCTTATTTTATTGTGCTTTTTGAGATAGAGCAGTAATTTAGCGTTCCGTGATATCTCAGTACGGCTGTGATCTGCGACTATGATAGCATCATAGTCTTCTAGATTTTATTTTGCTTCGCAACTTTTGCGCAAGTTAGCGTTCTGTGCTATCTTGGTGCGTCTGTGACCTCTTACGTGACTGTGATAGTATTTTAGTTTTGTTGATTATATTTTAATTTGTAACTTTACGTAACCTGTGCGTAAGTTATGAGCAACAGACCCTGTCACACCCTTTCAACAAACGCGTAACACGACAATGCATTACCCCGGCCAAGGCGAGCCCATATTCATGAAAGGTGCCAAGACCCACCAGCACAGGTAAGAATGCACTATAATTCCTTACTGTGTGTTGACATTCAGTTCTTTTAGTTAAAAAAAAGAGAGCAGTGGAGATGAAAACCCCATGGTACGCAGATTAGTTTAGTCCCGTCAATCGTGTGTCGTAATCCCCGCCTTTTGTAGCTAACCGTCATGTGGATCACCCGAAGAGGAAGCCTTCTCGAAGCCATCGACGGCCCGCGATGCACCCAGCGAAGCGAATCTCTGCATTGTTGAATTTTTTTGTAAATAAAGGCACTACTCTATTGCCCATATACAGTTGGGGTGTTCTAGTAAATGTTATCGTAAAGGACCGACGGGGATCGTGGGACCATTTCGAAAACACTACGGATCATGTCTGGAAGGGTCGCGTCAAATAATACGTCGCCGTGGTCTGCAACAGTAGAATGGGAAGATCTTTGCACTTGTTGATGGACTGGGGGCTAGTAAACCATGATTCCAGTCGCCTCATAGAATTTGAATGTGTGCGCAACGCTGCCGCGTGTTCGGCCATCCTCGTTCGGAGCTGTCTTTAGGTTTCTCCTACGCAGTTGCCTTGTCCGCAATTGCACCAGATCGGATAAACGACTCCAGAGGTTTCTAGCCGTGGCAGCGGGACTTTTGGTTTCATAACCAGGCGCCTGATGGTTGCCTTCGGTCTGTGTGCAACACGAACCCCAAGTGGTGCGAGAAGGCGGCCGACAGCTTCCGAAACGTTATTGACATACGGAAGTGCCCGCCAATATTTGGTGTCCTTGCGGTTAGGCCTGTCGTCCCTTTTGCGTATGCACCGGTCGACGAAGTTGCGCGGGTAGCCAGTGGCTTTGAAGACCCGTCGTAGGTACTGTAGTTAGGCAGTCTTGTCATCCGATCCACTGCAGTGCGTTTCGACACGTATTTGTCGCTTTCCGGAACACTTTGGTTTTTAGTTCACCGCAATCATAAATTGAATGTCCGGGAAGACGGCGTTGAGATGTTCTTGGGATGTCAACACCTGATCCTGATCGATTACGACGAAGGTATCATCCACATACCGGGCTAAGAAATTCGGTCTGTGCAGGACCGCATCGGCGATGAATCCCGAAATCGGCGAACACATTGGTGTGCCCTTCATTTGTTCGTAGATTGACCCGTCGAACGTGAAGTACGTACTAAGACAGCGCATCAGGAGCTGAAGGACTTGGGCGCGTAAAGACGATTCTCCGGTTCACCATACTTGCTTTGTAGAAGCGACTCGAATACCTTGATCGCTAGGTCCTGAGGAATAGAAGTAAAATGGGATGTAAAATCAAAAGTAGTAGTGGTAGTAGTGGTGGTGATAGTAGTAGTAGTAGTAGTAGTAGTAGTAGTAGTGGTAGTGGTAGTGTAAGTAGTAGTAGTAGTAGTAGTTGCTGTTGTTGTAGAATAGAATAGAATAGGTTTATTGTAGCGCCCCTTGGGTACTGTCAGTCCCCTTTGAACTCAGGAAAAAAACCTAAAACAAACTCGTCAATTTCAACTGCACTTTTACTTCATTTGCTTCGGGTGTCTGGTTAACCAAAAGAGCGCGAATTGAGAGTTTGTTTTAAGTTGAAAAAAACCTCAGTTCTAAGGGAAAATAATAACAAAATTTTCAAAAAATAACGATATGTACAATATAAAAATTGAAGTTTGCACTTTGGTAGTTTTCGGGGGCATGAATAATATGTCCTTCATGGCAATTGAAGAACTTTGATATCGGCCTGACCTTGAAATTATTTTCCTGTTGGGTAAATTTCGGTGTGCTCTAGTTGCTGGTTGTGTAGCGACCCTAGCCGAGATGAGGGTTAATAACGCTATGCTAAGCCCCGTCTGGTCCCCAGTAAGAAAGAAAGGCGAGCTCCTAAGGGGGCAATTACTTGTAAACGATAGCAGACGATATTGACAGTTTGGGAACAGCGGGATGTCCTATGGCGAGGACAGGCTTGTTTGGATGCAAGCCTCGTTTGATCCGGGCGGCGAAGACGATGCAGGAGCAGCGGTGGCTTCCAGAAGGAGTCCTCCGGTCCAAGGTCGGTCAACGTCAATCCTCCTCGGTTTTTATAGGGCCTCCAGACGATTGGGATAGGTTCACATAAAAATAGGCCAATGGGTATGCGTAAATCAATTGCAAGAATACTAGAACGTAAATCGTAGCCAATAGAATCTTCGGGACCGTTTTTATAGACATTCTGGCCTAAACTGGTCTCTACTGGATCGCTGATAGGCAAACCGAAATACCCAATGGTTAGTCGAAAACTATTGACTTAATTTGGCGAGATCCAATGAGAACGACAGTTAAAAGTGTCCTGGACCAATAGAATTGGAGAATCTAAAATGGCAAACTTGCGTGTGCCATCCAATGGGAACGCCGAGCTTTGTACTGGCAATTTGTTATCCATCTTAGCCTAACTAGCGAAAACGAGGAAACTTTTGCTCCATCTTTACATCACTCCCTCCTCCATAGAGACGTCGCTGTCCTCAGCGATTGCTGTGCCCTCGTTTTGACTGACGTCATGCAGCATTGACCTGTGGTCTTCAACATTGTGCCGCCTGTCGCTAAAGGATACTTCAAACTCGTCCCCACCCTCAGGTGGGATTTCAACGATCCTTCCAACTTGGTCACGATCGACATCCCAGACGGTATTTCCTTGATCTTCGGAACCAAATGCATCCGGTCTCTCTCCCAACTTTAGTCGATTAAAATGGACGGTAATTTCCGCCGCGAAAGGTCGCTCGCGGTCCTGAATCACACAGGTCGTGTCAGAGATCACCTTGGTTACAGTGTACGGACCAGACCAGTCTAACACAAATTTACTCGGTATTCCTTGCGGGGCTGTATGTTCTCTGAGCCATACGATGTCACCAACAACATATGGGCACCCATGGGCAAGTTTGTCATAATGGTCCTTCTGTCGGTTTTGGGATCCACGTAAGTGTGTTCGCGCTTCCTCGACTGCAATACGCAACTTATTATGTAGCCTGGTGACATAAGAATTTACTGGTACTTGGTTATTCTCCAGTGGTGCTTGGAGGTCTTCCGGTATCCGCATTTCCCGACCACAGGTGAGAGCGAACGGCGACTGCTGGGTCGAGGAATGAATCGTGGAACGGTATGCGAGCATGCATGCGGGTAGGGCATCGTCCCACGTGAAGGGTGCCTGACGATCAACAAAGGCTTTTAACAATCCGATTAGCGTCCTATTCGTTCGCTCAACTTGTCCGTTACCCTGCGGGTGGTAAGCAGTAGTGCGTGTCTTGTTGATCCGTAACTACTTACAAAGACTGTGAAGAACTGCGTTTTCAAATGAACTTCCTCGATCTGAGTGAATTTGGTCTGGGGCTCCCCATCTACATACCCAACCATTAAAAATGGCCTGAACGACCGTTTCCGCCGACATATTAAGCAATGGTTCCACCTCAGCCACTTTCGTAAAGAAGTCCACCATGACCAGAATGTAACGATTGCCCCGGACTGATGGAGCTATGGGTCCAATGATGTCAACGCCAACGAGTTCGTTGGGGTAGCCTGTTAAGATTGGTTGAAGGGGCGCTCTGTTTAAGTGAGGTGGCGGCTTTAGTTGATTACACAAGTCGCAATACCGAATAAAATCCCACACATATCGTCTTAAGTTGGGCCAACAATATCTCCTCCTTACAGCCCACTCGGTCTTATGGATTCCTACGTGCCCTAGCTGAGTGTGTATTCGCGTGAGGACATCATCGGTCATGGATAACGGTAGAACGATACGTCGGGGATACTGGTCACCATCGCGGTAGAACAATACCCCATTATCTAGAAAAAGCTTATCCCACACCGTGTGCAGACAGCGCGTCTCGTAACTTAAACCCCGAAGCCCGGGTCCACTCAAAGGCCGCGATTCGCCTAGCTTTCTGTAGTAGATGGGGCCTATATGAGGATCATCGCGCTGAGCCTGAGCCCAAAGGCTGCGCTGGTCATCATGAAGTGTTATGCTGCCGATGCTAATGTCTGTGCAAGACGGGCATTCGCCGTGGGGACGATACGGTTTCCTCGAGAGGGCATCTGCGTTGTTATGCTGGCGCCCTGGCCGATGGTTACAGTCGAATTCAAACCCCGCCAGCCGCGCTTGCCATCTCGCGACCTGACCCTCGGCATTTTTAAAATTGCGTAGCCATGCCAAGGAACTGTGATCGGTTCGGACGAGAAATTTGCGGTACTGCAAGAATGGCCGGCACTCTTCGATGAAGAAGGTGAGCGCAAGCATCTCCTTCCTGGTTACGCAGTATCTTCTTTCTGCCTTGGTGAGTGACCGACTTAAATACTGGATTACTCGTTCAGTGCCGTCCGCCTGCCGCTGAGACCGCACCGCACCAATTGCAGTCTCGCTGGCATCTGTGTCGAGTACGAAAATGCCCGCTTGGTCGCTAATGTCAGGAAAAGTCAAGACAGGACTGGAACAAAGGCTATTCTTAAGGGTTTGGAAGCTAGCTTCACATTCTGGGGTCCATTTAAATCTGACTCCCTTCTGCGTGAGTTTATTCAACGGCGCGGCTATGTGGGCATAATCTTTAATGAACTTTCTGTAGTACGAAGCCAAGCCAGAGAAATTTCTGACTTCTGATACGTTATTAGGTGTGGGCCAGTCCCTAACTTCCTTTACCTTATCTTCGTCCGTTTCGATACCCGATTCGGACACCACGTGTCCTAAGAACTTTACTTTATCTCGAAAGAAGACGCATTTTGCTGGTTTGAGGATAAGGCCTGCCTGCCGCAGGCTGCTGAATACTGATTGTAGGTTTTGTAGGTGGTCTTTGAAATCCTTCCCGAGCACGATGATGTCGTCCAAGTACACCAAACAAGCCTTTGGAATAAACTGGGCAAGGACTTGGTTCATGAGCCGCTGGAATGTGCTGGGCGCATTGGCTAACCCGAAAGGCATGGTTTCAAACTCGTATAGACCAGTGGGCACCGAAAAAGCTGTTTTCTCACGGTCAGATGGCCTTACTTCTACCTGCCAGTATCCGGCCGCTAGGTCTAGAGTAGTAAATACTCGATTACCTGAGAGAGCATCTAGGGTTGCGTCGATACGAGGTAATGGAAAAGAGTCTTTAGTTGTCAATTCGTTTAATTTACGGTGGTCGACACATAACCTCAAGGATCCGTCCTTCTTCATGACTAATACAACTGGAGAGGACCAGGGAGAATTAGATGGCCTGATAATCCTTCGGTCGAGCATGTCATCTATCATTGCCTTTAA